GACTACGACTACTACTACTACCACCACCACGAAACCCCGGCAAATACATAATCCGCACGTGTACAATACAATACACATGCACTGCAAGACACTTGCAAAACAACACAAACACCGCACACTCAACACACATACAACACACAGGCGGTACACGTACGACAACGATACGAAAGGTACATGCTCCTTCCCGCGCGCAGAACGTTTAGAACTGTTTCGTTCCTAATAGAACCGCTGTGTCCCGCGCCACGACCCGAATGCAAACCCCATTCAAACTACCGTGCGCAGGTAGCAGTGAAAGCAAGGCTCTGTCGGGCATCCTCAATATTTTGTGTTCGCAGCGTTCCGTGGGAGTCCTTACGGATTCGTCAGCGCCCAGCATGTTCATTGCAGGATTCCTCCGGATGCCGCAAGACTCCTCGGAGTTCCGCAAATTTGCCCAAATTCTCCAAAACAAACAATTCAGGATTCCGCAGACTCGTTCAGGATTCCGCTGATTTGGAGCTATCGGGATTATCCTGGGTCCCTCCAGATTTATCATGGTTTCGTCCGGATTCTTCAAGATTCCTCCGATGCCCTTGTAATCCCCCAAAATTCCCTCCGGATTCCTGCTGCATCTTCCCAGAAACTCTCAGAATTCCCTTGGGTTCCCCTTGGATACCGAAGAATTCCTGAAGGGTCCCTCAGGAATCCCGAGGGATCTTCAAAATTCTGGAGGAGCCCGCAGACCCCCGATGGGTTCCAAGAGAATCCCACATGTTCCTGGAGGAACAACCAAAACTCCTGAATTCTTGTATCCGCGGTACTCCTTCGGAATCCTAAGACCTCCTGTGGCGCCCGCGTGATCCCCTTGGAATTTTCTAGAAAGACGGAATTTGCGGAGTCCTCCGGGAACCCTGGGATCCATGCAAAAACCGCGCGGTTGCCTCGGTAATCCTGTCACTTCTCTCAGTGACCCTGCGGTGAATTTCCGGAAACGAAAAGGCGCCATCGGGAGTCATCGGGTCCTATCAAGAATCCTTGGGGCTCCAGAGGAAACTCGCTGGCTCCCTCCAAGGGCCACGCGATCGTCCTTGGAATCCTGGGGCGCACCTCCCCCAGAACAGAAAAGTGTCCTTCTCTGGGTCCGAAACGGCGAATCACCCAACGTAGCGACGGCCGCGCGCCCCCGAAGCCGCGAAACCTTGCGAACTGAGTCGCCATTGCGTTCCGAGACCACGAGCCTCTCCGAATCACACCTCGCTCGCCCCATTCGAGGCCGCGAACGCGTCCTGTCTGTGTGCCCCTTGGGCTGCCCAGCGAATCGTGGGGAACCCTCCAGACCCCCGGGGTCCTTCCAGGGACCCTGGGGGCTCCCACGAGGAACCTGAGGAACCCTGAAGAGTCCTGAAGAGTCTCGCTTCCTCCGTACGCGGGGGCACACTGCTCGAGTGTTGCCAAAAATGCCGCTGGCCCACGGTGCCCCCGGGATCACCCAGGAGGCCCCCACGGCCGCCGGAAAACCTCGCACGGCCTCCGGGGCTCCAAAATGGGACGGACAGCTGGGGGGCAACTTGGGCCAGGGGCACCTTTAGCACCCCTCGCAACTACGGCGGCCTCCTCCTCCTCGATCCTGCTCCCTCCTGACTCACCACGCGGCGTCGTCGCCGCATCCTCTGGGGGCAGGGGAGGGAGCCCCGCGCGCCCGCCGGGGCGGAGCGGTCCCTGGCCACCAGCAGGCCGGGCTGAGTTCGGGAGGCCTCCACGGGGCGGCGTGCGCCCGGGCGGGCACGGGGCGGGGGGTCGCGAAAAGGTGCCCAGGTGCCCCTGGCCCAGGGTGGAACAGCTGTTCGCTAAAGTTTGGAGCCCCTGGGTCCCTCTGGGCCTCGTGAGCGGTGGTCTGGAGGCCGCGGGGGCCTCCTTGGAGATCCTGGGGGCACCTTGGGCAGTGAGCACTTCTGGCAACAACCGAAGGCACGGGCGAGGGCGTAGAACTCGGCTGCGCCCTGGGTCCCTCTGGGCCTCGTGAGGGGTGCTCGGTCTGCCATGGGGGCCTCCTCAGAGATCCAGGGGGGCCCCTTGGGCGATGGGCACTTCTCGCAACATCCGAAGGCACGGGCGGGGGCGTAGAATTTTTACTGTGAGATCGAGCACGGAATTTGTTTACCCAAAGCACAAGTTCCCTACCTAGGCTCTGCCTAGAAGGGTTCTTACTCTCTTAGCTTAAAGGGGCCGGGCAGTGGAAAGCGCCCCGGGCGGTTCCCCCAGTCCCTTGGGAGCGGTTCCCCCCAGTCCCCTGGGAGCTTTAGCTTTAGCTTTAGCTTTCGCTTTAGCTTTAGCTTTAGCTTTAGCTTTAGCGTAGCTTAGCTTTAGCTTAGTGGTAGCTTAGCTTTAGCTTAGCTTTAGCTTAGCTTTAGCTTAGCTTTAGCTTAGCGTTAGCTTAGCTTAGCTTAGCTTTAGCTTAGCTTCAGCTTAGCTTTAGCTTATATTTAGCTTAGCTTTAGCTTAGATGTAGCTTAGCTTTAGCTTAGTTTTAGCTTAGCTTTAGCTTAGCTTTAGCTTAGCTTTAGCTTAGTGTTAGCTTAGCTTTAGCTTAGCTTTAGCTTAGCTTTGGCTTAGCTTTGGCTTAGCTTTAGCTTAGCTTTAGCTTAGCTTTAGCTTAGCTTTAGCTTAGCTTTAGCTTAACTTTAGCTTAGCTTTAGCTTAGCTTTAGCTTTACTTACTTTAGCTTAGCTTTAGCTTAGCTTTAGCTTAGCGTTACTGTTACTACTGAATGTCTTCTTTCTAGGGGGTTCCAACTCCCTAGTTATGGTCGCACTGGGATAATGTTCGTCGAATCTACGAACAGCACGGACGGTCCTTGCGGATATATGGATCCTTCTACGTCATTGTCGTAGGTTCGACGAACGAATCATCCGGGGGCAAATCAATTCCATAGTCGACCTCCTACTCGGAGAACAGGGAACACACTTTTTGACGATCGAGGCTTCGCGCGCAGCGGCGAGGCTGACCGAATCGATCAAGCAAAGCAGCACGGACGTAGCGCGCGCGCGGCGGGCCGGGCGGGGGGAGGGCTTCTTAGGAGGCTGCTTCTTGGAAGGCGCCAGCCCTGCATCTGTAGATGAGGCCCGCGCCTTCCGAGAAGCAGGGGTGCTTCTACTCGGAGGCGCGCTAGCATGGATAAGCGATCCGTGGGTTTGGAGCGCGGTCGCCAAACCCATGGATCGGAGGAAGTGCACTCCTCCCCAAAATGCGGCCGGTGCCGCCTCGTTCGGCGGCTGAAATCAGAGATTTTCCATGGAAACAGGACCCGTCGCTAATCCACGCCCCCTTGATCCATGTTTGCGATCGCCTGATTCTAAGAAGCAGGGGTGCTTCTAAGAAGCACTCCCCCCTCCCCCCTCTGCGCGTGGCTGAGCGTGGGTGGCGAGTGATAAAACTGTGGCACAGACGAGGGGGCACACGGACACACGCGGCCTGCGCCCTGCACCAGGGGGGGGGGGGGCTTGCTGCAGGGCAGGGCCGAGGCTCCCAGACAGGTGCGGGCGCTTCCAAGCGTCGGGGTCCACCAACGGAAGGGGGGCCCTGAGGGGGGGGGGGAGTTCGATGCGCTGGTGCATGGAATTTCCGAAAGACGATGCCCCCCGCGCGCCCCGATTGTCGACACCTCTCGGGTTCTGGCGGCGGCCGGAGGCCTCGTTTTGCATCGTTTTACTGCGGTTTGATGCGCCAACGGACCGGACTCACACCCCCCCCTGTCCCCCCCCCCCCCTTGCGAGGTCCCGAAAGTAGGGCGAGGCACTGCGACGCCACAGAGCACATACAGGGGAGGCCAGTCCACAAGAAACCTTCCACTGGAAACCCAACCCTTGAACTCCAGGACGTCCATTGATTTTCGGTGTGGGAACGTTACGTTTTCCATGGCAGAAGCCATCAAAACACAAGAAACCCAGGGCACCATGGAAGCAAAAGGGCGTTTCTTGACGCGGTCCTCCACTGTACTGAGAGACGAAAGGGAGGGAAGAAGAGGAGCATATCGAAGAGGACCCGCGGCCCGCTCTTTGGTGGGTGGCCCCAGAACTGTGGGCCAAATGGGTGCGCAGTCGGAGGGGCAACACCGGAAGCCGGAGTCGGAGATGTGTGGCAACCAGAATCGTAGATGCAAAAACGAAAGGAGCTGCGAGGATGATGACGACGCAGACGACGGCGACGACGATGATCGAGGGTTGGAATGATATAAGACGCCGATCGGATAAAGACGAGAGCGAAATCGAAGATAGAGCATCAAGGGTGTGAGATCGCTGACGGAGAACAGAAGATCGAGAATAGATGGTCGACGGCCTAGGGGGCCAGGTTGAGAGATCGAAGATACCGTGCCGATAATCGAGGTGACCAGGACCATCGTTAGCAAAGGGGCTACGATAAAAGCGATGGTTTTGGGCAGGGAAACTCGTCGAGTCTCGCTTGGCAGCCAGAAAGGCTGCAGCGCACAAGCAACCGCTTTGGCACGGGCACTCTGCGACACCCGCGATTCGTGATGCCGATGTCTGATGCGGGCGCAGTATCGCGCTACGCGAAATGCGACGCTCTCTTTGGAGGTATTCTGGCCACATATGCCACGAGCTGTCTGGAGCCCTCTGAACCAGCCGACCAGAGGTTAGAGTTCGGAGTGGGCTTGCCGAGCAAGAGCAGTGCATGCCATGTACCATGCTGGGGTGATGGTGATCAGAATGATGGGGACAATGATGTGGATGGTGATGAGAACGAGGATAATCGGGGGCTAGGATCGAGAGCCGCAGGATGAGACTCGAAGATTGAAGATCAGAGATCGGAGACCGATGATCGATAGTCGAGGACAGACGCTCGAAGATCAACTAGACAGGGACGTCGACATCTCCTCGGAATGGGAGAGGAAAAATGAGGACGATGAACGAGAAGCGGAGGAGACGGGGACGAGGAGGAGGAAAGATCTTTGGAATTGGCGTTATGTGTGCGTGTTGGGGGGGGGGTGCGCCACCACCCCCCGAGAGGAAGGTCGGGCCTCAGGGTGGGCCCCAGGGTGAGATGGGATGGGGATCAGCATGAGGACCTTACGGGAGAGGACGAGAGAGGAAGGAGTGAGCAAGGGTGGTGAACGAGGGAAGGAGCACGGAAGAGAGAGAGAGCGAAAGGGAACAAGAGGGCGAGGAAGCGAGTGAGCGAGGGAGAGAAAGAGGAGGAGCAGCAGGAGGAAGGGGAGGTGAGGAGTAGCAGGAGGACGGGGAGGACTGGGCCGAACATGGTGTAGTAACAACACACACACAATCCTGCAGGGAGGAGGACGGGGGAAGAGCAAGGTGGCGAAAGAGCTGTAGATATCAGTGCGAACTGTCGCAGTCCAAGAGGGTTCCCGTTCGAGCGGGGACCCCTAATCGACAACTCGCCCCTTTAGCCCGAGCGGCATTCTCGCCCCGAGACTAGAAGATTGGTCTGGATGGCATACATGTTCGAGGGCGAGTTGAAAATTCATTAGAGGATGAGGGCGATGTGTAGGAAAAGCCAGAGGAGGGGGGGAGGAGGAGGAGAGGGAGGAATAAGCGGAAGAAGGGTACCCCCCGAGGGAAAGGACAGGAATGAGGAGGGAAAGCGAAAGGAAGGAGGATTAGAAGGAAGATATATGAGAGAGAGAGAGCTTGGGCAAGCTGGGTCTCCTGCGGGGGCTGCTGCTCCAGCGCCCTCTCCTGCGCCGGGCTTCACGGGCGATTACCCTCCTCCTCGTCCTCCTTGTCCTTGTCCTCGTCGTCACCCCTGTCGTCGTCATCGTCGTCCTCCTCACCATCGACAAATTGGATGACGACGACATCGTCTTCGTCCAGCACGACCACACGGCGTAGTCCCCCTCACCGTTATCGTCCTCAACCTGTTCCTCCTCCATTATCCTCGTCCTCCTGCCTATCATATACACTTCTGGTTCTCCTCCTTCTTCTCCTCCTTTGCCTCCCGCACTTGCATCCGCAACGGGGTCCAGTTCACTCCGCTCCATTCCCCCTGGCCTGCATCCCTCTCCGGGCCCCTCCCAGCGCCCAGCGTGGCGAAAAAGGGCGGCCAGGGGTCTCCTCCGAGTTGCCGCCGCCGCCGCCGAAGGCGCCTCCGCGCGGCAGGAACCCCGCCCCGTCCTGCATCAGAGGACGGAGACTGGGCGATCGGAGTCCAAGAGCGCTGCTGCCTGCTGCGCCTAGGGAAGCCTCTTGAGGCCATGGAGGCCTCCGGCGATCCTTGAGGAACCTCGAGGGACCTTCGGGAGGCCTCCACTGGAGAGATCTCCAGAGGACTCCGCTCGGGGAGGGATCAGCTACAGGTCGCCGAACTTCGCGCTTCGCCTGACGCGCGGCGCGCGGACATCCTCGCGCACTCGGGCCACATCCTTTGAGAAGGGAGGCCCTCCGGCCCAGGCCGCGCTGCGCGAAGAGCGATGGTCTTCGCTGTTCGCGCCAATGTTTTCTGTGGGCGTGGGTCATAGTCAAGCGTTAACTCCCAGGCGCAGCGGGCGGGGCCCGAATGAGGGCCCGAAGAAGACGAACGAGCGAGGGCCAGAGAAGGACACCACGGAGGAGGGACAACGACTTCGCGCCGATGCGGGAAACCTGGGATCAGGGGGGCATGGAGGGGGGGGCAGGGAAGGTCGGGAGGGGGAGGTCAGGAGGGTAGGGGGCCACGGAATCTGTCGGTAACGGGCAAGGCGATCCGGGCGTTCTGCCTGAGCTTTCCTCACCAACGCGCCGTATGTTTCCTCATCGAGGGCGGCAAGCAGTTTTCAAAATCTAATCATCGTCTTCGCACAGCCCACCCTGTCCCCCCCCCTCCCCTGCGCCGCGTCCTCTTCCCGCCCCACCCCCCACTCCCATCCCCTTTATCCATTTTCTTCCTGCTCCCTCCATCCACCCATCCCCAATCCCTGTCTTCCCCCTGCCCCCATCGAAATCCGTCCCCAGACTCCTCACGTGGTCCGCCCTGGCTGGAGTTATCATGCGCCCCCAACCCCTCCCCCCCCTTCTCGTCCTCCTCCTACTCCTCCTCATCCTCCTGCTCACCGTCCTCCTCCCCCTCACCATCATCATGGTCCTCATCCTCATCCCCCTCTCTCGTATCCCCTCGTCCTCCTCCGCTTCCTCGTACTCCACCTCCTCCTCCTCCTGCTCCTCCTCCTCCTCCTCCTCCTCCTCCTGTTCTCCCTCCGCCTACTCCTCGTCGTCATCCTCCTCCTGCTCCTGCCCCTCCTCCCTCCCCTTCTTCTCCGTTCCTTTTCCATATAGACTCTTGACGCTTCGCGTATCCCCACCAGCCCATCCAGAAACGATCAGCACGGGAGTTGGTAATCAATGGTTATGCAGTTGTGCGGCCGTCTTTAACAAAAATTGATCGCACATAGCTTCCCGCATTGAAGCTTAAGATGGAAACAGGTGCAAAATGCGACGTGGTGCTCCCCGTGGTAAACGTCTCTAGCGCAGGTGGCTGTATCTACCCTGGGACATGAGGAACAAGGATCACACCCAGCTTCTTGCAGCGAAGTGTAAGCTGGAAGCCAGTGCAAGATACGCTTGAGTGTTCCCTGTGGTAGGCCCCTCTGGCGCAGGTGACTGTACCTATCATTCGTCGCCCTTGTCGCACAGTTGCGAGTCGCATCCCCATATGCATCCTTGATCTCTGCCCCGCACTGAAGCTTATCTTAAACTCGCGTGCGGCTGCTGATGATGGTGGTGGTGGTGGTGGTGGTGGTGGTGGTGGTGGTGGTGGTGGTGGTGGTGGTGGTGGTGGTGGTGGTGATGCTGGTGTTGCTGCTTGTGGTGCTCGGTTGCCCTCTTGGAGCCATCTTGGAACAAGTGGTGCTGCTGGTGCTGGTGATGTCTGGGGCCATCTTGGGGGTAAGAGGAGGAGTAGGAGGCGGAGGAGGAGGAGGAGGAGGAGGAGGAGGACGAGGAACAGAACAGGAGGAAGGTGAGGAGGAGGAGCAGGAGGAACACGGCGCGAGGAGGATGACGAGAAGCAGGGAGGCGGCAGGAAAGAAGCAAGGAAGGAACGGACGATGACAAGGAGGACGAGAGGTCGGGCCTTGGGCATATGTCGTTGTGAGGGGTTCTTCGAAGACTCGTAATGCCATTTGGGCGCCATCTTGGGGTCCTCTTGGGGTCCTCTAAAGTGATTATTGAGGCTCTCTTGGAGCTCTTTGGGGAGTCATGGGGCCCGCTTGGGGTTCTTTGGGGGGTCTGGGAGGCCTCTTGGGGCCGTCTTGGACCCCGTCGCGAAGGAGTCCAATCGGCCTCAAGAGGCCTCCCAGACCCCCCCAAAGAGCTCTAAGAGGGCTCCAAGACACCTCAAGAGAAGCCCCAAGGAGGTCCCAAAAAGGCCCCCCAGGGGACCCAAAGATGGCGCCCAAATGGCATTACGAGTCTTCGAAGAACCCCTCACAACGACATATGCCCAAGGCCCGACCTCTCGTCCTCCTTGTCATCGTCCGTTCCTTCCTTGCTTCTTTCCTGCCGCCTCCCTGCTCCTCTTCATCCTCCTCGCGCCGTGTTCCTCCTGCTCCTCCTCCTCACCTTCCTCCTGTTATGTTCCTCGTCCTCCTCCTCCTCCTCCGCCTGGTACTCCTCCTCTTACCCCCAAGATGGCCCCAGGCATCACCAGCACCAGCAGCACCACTTGTTCCAAGATGGCTCCAAGAGGGCAACCGAGCACCACAAGCAGCAACACCAGCAGCATCACCACCACCACCACCACCACCATCATCAGCAGCCGCACGCGAGTTTAAGATAAGCTTCAGTGCGGGGCAGAGATCAAGGATGCATATGGGGATGCGACTCGCAACTGTGCGACAAGGGCGACGAATGATAGATACAGTCACCTGCGCCAGAGGGGCCTACCACAGGGAACACTCAAGCGTATCTTGCACTGGCTTCCAGCTTAAACTTCGCTGCCAGAAGCTGTGTGTGATCCTTGTTCCTCATGTCCCAGGGTAGATACAGCCACCTGCGCTAGAGACGTTTACCACGGGGAGCACCACGTCGTATCTTGCACCTGTTTCCATCTTAAGCTTCAATGCGGGAAGCTATGTGTGGTCCTTGGTTGTATGACGACGGCCGCGCAATTGCATGCTTCCGGCCGTCCCTGATTTACCAACTCCCCTGCTGATCGTTTCTGGATGGGCTGGTGGGGATACGCGAACCGTTAAGAATTAACAACAGTTTCACACATGGAGGGCGTGTGGTTTTCAAAACGTGACTCTCGCCTTAGCGCCACGCGCATTCATGTCAAGCATGTATAAGGGTTTCAAGGACTGAGGACGGGTCGTTTTCAAAATGTGGATCTCGCTTCAGCGCCGCGCACATTCATTTCAACAATTTGCAAGAGTTTCACGGATTGAGGGCGAGTCGTGTTCAACATACGGCTCTCGCTTTAGCGCCGCGCGCATTCATTTCAAACATGTGCAAGAGCTTCACGGATTGAGGGCGGCTCGTTTTTCAAAATGTGACTCTCGCCTTAGCGCCGCGCCCATTCGTTTTAAACATGTGCAACAGTTTCACGTATCCCCATGATCAGCGTACCAGATGTCGTTTTGGAAGGATTCAGGATTATGAGGGTGCACAAGTTGCGAGGATTCGCGGTGTTGAAGTCCCAGGAATGGCGTCCGGGCACGATTCAGGATCGACAAGACGCAACAGTTAGATTGGCCCGTGACGCTGGAATCTCGAGAACGATGTTTTGGCATGCGTCAGTGTCTTCAAACGGCTGTCTTCCAACGAGGCAGTTCTCTCAGTGGAAAGTCAACCCTTGTAGGGGCACGTGCAGAAGGAGCTTGGAGGGAGGGTTTATTCCAACATCGTTAATGACACGTAGCTTTACGCTGGTCCTCCTCCTCCTCCTCCTCCTCCCTCCCCCTCCTCTTCCTCATCCTCCTCCTCCTCCTCCTGCCCCTCCATCCCTCTTCCTTATAGATAATTCCCCCCTTGTCGCGCCCCGAGACTGGGTTGTAGGGCGGCCCCCGCGTTTCGCTTGAGACTTCACACAATGAGTGATCACTAAGCCGAAAAGCTGCAACAGCTTCAAGGATGGAGGGCGGGACATTTTCAAGATGTAGCTCTCGCCTTATCGCCGCGCACATCCGTCAGAACTTATCCTGGCGAAGAGCCCAACCACATGCGATTGAGAATACCGCAGTTGTGATTATCTCCTCCGGTGGAACAGCATACCTATGAAGCCACGGAACGTGTGAGGGGTGTGTCGAAATGGAGGCGGAACCACATTCGGTGGAGCCCACCATAGGGCCACAGAACGTATGAGGGGTGTGCCAAAACTGGGTGTGAAACCGAATGCGAACTCAGTCACTGGGGCCTTCGGTGGAGCTCCCTCTGCGGGGCAACGAAAAGTGTGAGGGGTGTGCCGAAATAGTGAATGGAACCGAATGCGAACGCAGCCACTGGGGCTTTCGGTGGAGCATCCTACGGGGCCACGAAACGTGTGAGGGGTGTACCGAAATGTGGGATGGAATCGCATGCGAACGCAACAACTGGGGCCTTCGGTGGAGCTCTCCGTGGGGCCACGGAACGTGTGAGGGTGTGCCGAAATGGTTGACATGCGGAGGGCAGAGGCAGGGATGGGAGGAGGGAGGGAGGAGGGGGAGGAGGGGAAGAAGGAACGCGGGACGCCGTCTCTTACAAACGAGGGCCCACCACCACAGGATTGTTCGGAAAATGCAGGAACTTCGCGGATCGAGGGCGGTATCTTGTCAAAAGGTGGTGCTTGCCTTAGCGCCGCGCACATCCGTCTGAACAGTTCGCCTGCAATATTCACAGTTCGAGGGCGGTATCTGTTCAAAAGGTGGCCCCCGTCTTAGCGCATCGCACGCTCGCTGTTAACAAACTGCAGGAGATTCAAGGAGTGCTGTGGCGAACGTGTTTTGCACTTTGTGCTTTGGCGCGATGTAGGACTGTCAGGCCGCAGCACATTGGCACGAGTCAGGATCGTCAGGTCGCAACGGTAACGTTGCTTCGCGGCGTTGAAGTCCCAGGAATGGTGTTCTGGCACGGTTAAGGATTTTGAGGCAATCGTGGTCCAACGGGGCACTTCTCTCAGAACAAAAATACGTGCAGGGGCCTGTGAAGAGGGAGCTTGGAGGGAGGGTGTAGTGCAGCATCGCTGATGGGTCTTGGGTCTACACTGGTCCTCCTGCTCCTCTTCCTCCTCGTCCCCCTCCTCCTGCTCCCCCTCCTCCTCCTGCGTCGTGTTCTTCGTCTTCTTCTTCTTCTTCTTCTTTTCCTTCCTCTTCCTCCTCATCATTTCACCCCTCCCTCCTTTCCCCCCTCCCCCATTCCTCCCTCGGCCTCCTCATCCTCCTCCCACTCCCCCATCCTCCTCTCCCTCCCCCTTCTCATCCCCTTCCCCCTCGCCCTCGTTCTCCTCCTCCTCCTCCTCCTCCTCCTCCTCCTCCTCCTCCTCCTCCTCCTCCTCCTCCTCCCTCCCATCATTCGTCCCCTCCGTGCCTCTTCCTTACAGCGAACTCCCCCCTGTCGCGCCCCAAAGGCGTGCTCACAGGGCGGGCCAGGCGTTTCGCCAGAGACTTCCCCACCATCTGTGATACAGTCAAAACGTAGATTAAGGACGGGTGATGAGGACGCAAGCCCTTGGAGGCCGAAGTTGGGTTTTTAGGGCGGCGGGCGACCAGTGATAATGGCAAGCACGAGCCTCAGAGGCAAGAACACAAGGGTACCCTAGATGAAGGCGCGCGTCCTTACTAGGCGCGTTGACTGTACTGGCGCCTGAATATCACAACGGCTTCACGGATGGAGGGCGGGTGGTTGTAAGTGGGGCTCCCGCCTCAGCGCCGCGTTCATTCGTCTTAAACGTCTCCAACCGTTTCCCGGATGGAGGGAGGGTGGTGTTCGCAATGCTGGTCTCGCCTTAGCGCCGCGCACACTCGTGCTAAACAATGTAACAGGTTCAAGGATGGGTGGGCTTATATTTCAACATGTGGCTCTCGCCCTAGCGCAACGCAACAGGTCCAAAGATGAATGGCGGTTCTGTTTCAACATGCAGCTCTCGCCCTAGCGCCGCGTCTTGAACACTTGCCATCGTTTCAAATATTCGCACGGTCGAAGTCCCAGGAAAAGTGTCCTGGCAAGATTTAGGACTGCCGGGCCGCGACTGTCATGTTGGTTCGCGGTGCTGCGTCACAGGAACGGTGTTCTGACACGAGTTAGGATGGTCAGGACGCAACAGTCGCGTTGATTTGAAACGCTGAAGTCCCAGGAATGACGTGGTTGCACAATAGAGGATCCTCAGACGGTTGTCTTCTGGTGGGATGTTTCCCGCAGTGAAAACAATTCCCTGTAGGGCCCTGTGCAGAGGGTGCTTGGAGGGAGGTTTATTGCAACATAGTCGTTGCGTCATGGGTTTGCACTGGCCTTCCTAATCCTCTTCGATGCTTATCCTCGATCCTCCTTCTCGATTCTCCTTGATCTTCCTCCTTGATCCTCCCCGATCATCCTCGATCCGCCTTGATTCCCCTCGATCCTCTTTCTCGATTCTCCTCCTCGATGCCCCTGGATCCTTCTCCTGCTCCTCCTACTCCTCCTCCTCCACATCCTCCTCGGTCCTCCTCCTCCTCGATCCTCCCTCCATCCTCCTCCTCCATCCTCCCTCGATCCTCCCCGATCCTCCCTCGACCCTCCCTCGATCCCCCTCCTCGATCCTCCTCCTCGATCCCCCATTGCGCCTCCCTCGACCCTCCCTCGATCCCCCTCCTCGATCCTCCTCCTCGATCCCCCCTTGCGCCTCCCTCGATCCTCCCTCGATCCTCCTCCTCCTCCTCGATCCTCCCCCCCCCGGCGGGGCGGATGGCGCCCGCCAGCGCGCCCCACGCCGCCCCCACGGCGTTCGCGACGTGGCCCGCGGCCTGCCCGACGACGACCCACGGACGACGACCGACGACGACGACCCACGGAAGACGAGGACCGACGAGGACGACCGATCGACCGACGACGACCGACGAGGACGACCGATCGACGACGAGGACCGATGAGGACGACCGATCGACCGACGAGGACCGACGAGGACGACCGATCGACCGACGACGACCGACAAGGACGACCGATCGACCGACGAGGACCGACGAGGACGACCGATCGACCGACGACGACCGACGAGGACGACCGATCGACGACGAGGACCGACGAGGACGACGACGGAGGCAAGCGATCGACCGACGGGCGGACGGACGCCCGACGGAGGGGCAGACGGGCGGCGGAGGGAAACGGCGGGTCACGGACGACGAGCGAACGACGGCGGCAAGGGGCAGAAGCGGGAGCGGGCGCGCAGGTGAGGGGCAACGATATCGGAGGAGGAAAAGGTACCCATACCTCTACACTTCCCTCGTTTCCCCTTTCTGGGCCTCCTGGGTAGCCTTCGTCGCCACCGCTGGATTCGCCTCGAAATCCTGGTCAGAACGCGCGCCGGGAGAGGTCCGGGGAGTACCGGTATGGGTACCTTTTGGTTTCCCCACGATTGGGGACTGGCAAAGGGGGGGATGCATCGACCTGGAATCGGCGATACATCCATCGCTGGTAGATCGGCGATAGGCCTCCGATAGTGAGTACGCACCTTCCTGGACAGGCTGGGGCTATCGGGCCCCTATCGGCGATCAATGGGCGATTGGGGGTCGATGCATCTCCCCCTGTGCCTATCCCCCCCCCTATCGTTCGTTGCCCCTGACCGTATCTCGTTTTAAACATCCGCATCCGTCTCGGCGCCTGGGCACAGCCATCTGGTTTCGGCCTTGCCTGGGGCGACCCAAGCCGACGCCGCAGGGTGGCACACGGAAGAGCACAGGAAAGCAGCGCGCATGTCCCGTGCGCTTCCCCATCGATGGGGAGCGCGAGGAGACGACAGCGCGGTGGATCGGCGCCGTTCGGAAAAAACGGGCGCTCGCTGGCAAGAAGGGCAGGCTGGGGCGGGCGGCCGAGGGCGCAAATAGGATCCCCGTGGCGCAAGTACTGCTTCGGGGGAGCCGTATGCTTACGACAAATAGGCTCCGCCTCCTCCTTCTCCTCCTCCTGCTCCTCCTCCTCCTGAATATCCTTCTCCGCATCCTCCGTCTCTTCGCCTACCCCCAGCGCCTTCTGCGCGTGATGCTTCGCAGCGTCATGTGCGTCTCCTGCGGGGAGCGGGGGGGCGTTGTGCCAGGCAGGCCCGCCCGCCCTGCCGACACGACTGGTGGTGCGACGACAAAGGCATACTGCCCGGGGGAGGGATGGGGGAGGAGCAGCGGCAGCAGCAGCTGCAGGACGTCTGTCTCCTGCAGCGTCCATCACCGCATCGGCAGCCTTCCCGACGTGATGCTTCGCCGCGTCGTGCAGGTCTTCTGCGGCGGACAGGGCCAGCACGATGATGACCAAACAGACATCACTAATCTCAACGTTCCTTCATGTGCCCCGACCGTATCGTCCCCTCTTCCTTATTGCCCTCTTCCTCCTCTGCATCACCCTCTTTACACTCATCCTTGTCCTCCTCCTCCTTCTCCTTCTCCTCCTCCGCCTCCCCCTTCCTCCAAATCACGACTATGGTAACCGTATATTATCACCAGCAGCGTCGTCACCATCAACAGCATGAGCATGATCCTAACAATGATCAGCATCATCGCCAACAGCCTCATTATCAACATCTCCGCATGATCAATACCACGACAAACCAAATCACCCTTGAAATGTTCAGCTTCACCACCGTGATCGTCACCATCAACAAACATTAACAACTATTGAACCCTCAACAGCATCAACGCCATCATCACCATAATCATCATCAACGTCATAATCACCAACATCATCATCATCATCAGCATCATCTGCATCCGTCCAACCACCCTCGCCGCTCCACCTCTTCGTCCTCACCCCCACCCGCCTGCACATCCTTCCTTCCCTCCTCCTCCCCCTCCTCCTCCTCCTAATCTCTAGTCCTCCTCATGATCATCCCATTTCCTCCTCCTCATCACCACCGCCACCACCACCAGTCGTGGGTCGCAATTCGGTCGATCGGTCGGTCGGTCGGTGTCGTCGTCGTCGTTGTTATCGTCGTCGTCCACGTCGTCGTCGTCGGTGGCGGCGTCGGCGTCGCCGTCGTGACTAGCCGGCCGCTCTGCGGTTGATCGGGAGTTTCTGTATATAGAAGAAGGTGCGTGCGCTTGTTGGCGAGGGTGAGGATGAGGTTCCTCCTCCTCCTCCTCCTCCTCCTCCTCCTCCTCCTCCTCCTCCTCCTCCATCCTTCTCTTGCCTCCGTCTGTCCTCCTTCACCCCACAGCTCCATCATCTTCTCCTCCTCCTCCTCCTCCTCCTCCTCCTCCTCCTCCTCCTCCTCCTCCTCCTCCCTCCTCCTCCTCCTCCTCCTCATTCCTTCTCTGGGCACCTCCCCCGGGGCGCGGATCCACCGGATCTGTCCGGATCTGTCCGGAAACGGTGCCGGAGGCCGCTCTGGGCTCCTCTGGGCACCTCCCCCGGGGCCGGTTTTGTGAGGATGTCTCAAGCGAGGGCGCCGGTTTGGGATTCGTCGGCGGATCCACCGGATCCACCGGATCTGTCCGGAAACGGTGCCGGAGGCCGCTCTGGGCTCCTCTGGGCACCTCCCCCGGGGCCGGTTTTGTGAGGATGTCTCAAGCGAGGGCGCCGGTTTGGGATTCGTCACCGGATCCACCGGATCTGTCCGGAAACGGTGCCGGAGGCCGCTCTGGGCTCCTCTGGGCACCTCCCCCGGGGCCGGTTTTGTGAGGATGTCTCAAGCGAGGGCGCCGGTTTGGGATTCGTCACCGGATCCAGGGATCCAGGGATCCAGCGGATCTGTCCGGAAACGGTGCCGGAGGCAGCTCTGGGCTCCTCTGGGCACCTCCCCCGGGGCCGGTTTTGTGAGGATGTCTCAAGAATGTCTGGGCGAGGGCGCCGGTTTGGGATTCGTCGGCGGATCCAGCGGATCTGTCCGGAAACGGTGCCGGAGGCCGCTCTGGGCTCCTCTGGGCACCCCCCCGGGGCCGGTTTTGTGAGGATGTCTCAAGCGAGGGCGCCGGTTTGGGATTCGTCACCGGCGGATCCACCGGATCTGTCCGGAAACGGTGCCGGAGGCCGCTCTGGGCTCCTCTGGGCACCTCCCCCGGGGCCGGTTTTGTGAGGATGTCTCAAGCGAGGGCGCCGGTTTGGGATTCGTCACCGGATCCAGCGGATCCAGCGGATCCGTCCGGAAACGGTGCCGGAGGCCGCTCTGGGCTCCTCTGGGCACCTCCCCCGGGGCCGGTTTTGTGAGGATGTCTCAAGCGAGGGCGCCGGTTTGGGATTCGTCGGCGGATCGGGATCCAGCGGATCTGTCCGGAAACGGTGCCGGAGGCCGCTCTGGGCTCCTCTGGGCACCTCCCCCGGGGCCGGTTTTGTGAGGATGTCTCAAGCGAGGGCGCCGGTTTGGGATTCGTCGGCGGATCCACCGGATCTGTCCGGAAACGGTGCCGGAGGCCGCTCTGGGCTCCTCTGGGCACCTCCCCCGGGGCCGGTTTTGTGAGGATGTCTCAAGCGAGGGCGCCGGTTTGGGATTCGTCACCGGATCCACCGGATCCAGCGGATCTGTCCGGAAACGGTGCCGGAGGCCGCTCTGGGCTCCTCTGGGCACCTCCCCCGGGGCCGGTTTTGTGAGGATGTCTCAAGCGAGGGCGCCGGTTTGGGATTCGTCACCGGATCCACCGGATCTGTCCGGAAACGGTGCCGGAGGCCGCTCTGGGCTCCTCTGGGCACCTCCCCCGGGGCCGGTTATGTGAGGATGTCTCAAGCGAGGGCGCCGGTTTGGGATTCGTCGGCGGATCCGGATCCACCGGATCTGTCCGGAAACGGTGCCGGAGGCCGCTCTGGGCTCCTCTGGGCACCGCCCCCGGGGCCGGTTTTGTGAGGATGTCTCAAGCGAGGGCGCCGGTTTGGGATTCGTCACCGGATCCAGCGGATCTGTCCGGAAACGGTGCCGGAGGCCGCTCTGGGCTCCTCTGGGCACCGCGCCGGGGGTGAGGATGACGGTAGTTCCACAGAAACTCCCTCAAATCATCGTCGTAATCATCGTCGTCGCCACCGTCATCATCCTCATCCTCCTCCTCCTCCTCCTCCTCATCATCATCATCATCAGCATCGTCGTCGTCCGTATCATCATCGTCGTCATCATCATCATCATCATCATCATCATCATCATCATCATCATCATCATCAGCATCATCATCATCATCATCATCATCATCATCATCATCATCATCATCATCATCATCATCATCATCATCATCGTCATCATCATCAGCATCATCAGCATCATCCTCATCCTCATCAGCATCAGCATCATCAGCATCAGCATCAACATCAGCATCAGCATCAGCATCATCATCATCAGCATCATCATCGTCATCAGCATCGTCAGGATCATCACTCGAATCCTCATCCTCATCATCGGCATCGTCATGGTCAGAATCATCATTTGTTTCCTCATCTTCGTCATCATTTTCTTCAGCAGTATCATCACTAGCAGCAGCAACAGCCCAGACATCGTCAGCGGCATCGTCATCGTCAGCATCATCAGCAACATCAGCAGAACCATCATCAGTATCATCGTCACCATCATCAGCATCATCATCATGATCATCATCATCAGCAGCATCATCATCATCAGCATCAGCATCAGCATCTGCATCATCATCATCATCATCATCATCATCATCATCATCATCATCATCATCATCATCATCATCATCATCATCATCATCATCATCATCATGGTCATCACCTTCAGCATCATACTCACCGTCATCATCAGCAGCATCCACATCCTCGTCGCCATCCTCATACTCACCATCGTCGGCATCAGCATCATCAGCAGCAACAAAGTCATCGTCAGCGCCATTGAGATCGGCATCAGCATTATCATCAGCATCATCGTCAACATCATCAGCATCAGTAGTATCACAATTGTCATCACCATCAACAACAACGCCTACCGCACCAACATACTCACAGGCAGAGCCAACATCATCTCGTCATCATCATCTCGTCGCCGTCACCATCGTCATCATAATCATCCGGATCATCCACAACAGCATCATCACCAGCTCGAGCAGCATCATCATCAACACCACAAGCACCATCATCATAGTCAGCATCAGCATTATCAGCAACATCAGAATCTGCAGCATCGTTATCATCATCACCACCATCATCATCATCATCAGCATCGCCGTCATCATCGTCAGCATCAGCATCAGCATCATCACCCTTGTAATCAAGATAGCCTCGTTGTCCGAATGATCGTGCAACGCACACGCTCGAATACAACGAGCATTCATGTACACGTGCGCCTGTATTGTCGTTCCTGACCCCCGCTCCCTCCATCCCTCCCTCCCTCCTCATGCTGCTCCTCCTTTTCTGACTCCTCCTCCTCCTCCTCCTCCTCCACCTCGTCTTCCTCATCTTGGTCTCAGGTTGGGAAGCTGGGGCCTCTATCCTAGGGCCTGATCGGGCGGGCTGGCAGGGCCTGAGCTTGCGCCTCCTCCTCCAGCGGGCGCGCGAGGGTCTCTCTCGCACCCCGAGCACAATGACCCGGAGCCAATGGGGCCACGAAACACAACACGGGGCGCAGGAACCGCATGCGAGTTCCACCACTGAGACCTCCGGTGGAAATTCCTATGGGGCCACGAACCGCTGCACTGGGCGCAGGAACCGCATGCGAGTTCCGCCACCGGGACATTCGGGGGAGCTCCATATATGGGGCCACGAAACACAACACAGGGCGCAGGAACCGCATGCGAGTTCCACCGCTGGGACCTCCGGTGGAACTCCCAAATGGAGCCGCGAGCCGCTGCACTGGGCGCAAGAACTGCATGCGAGTTCCGCCACCGGGACCTTCGGGGGAGCTCCATATTTGGGGCCACGAAACACAACACGGGGCGCAGGAACCGCATGCGAGTTCCACCGCTGAGACCTCTGGTGGAACTCCCTAATGGGGCCGCGAGCCGCTGCACTGGGCGCAGGAACCGCATGCGAGTTCCGCCACCGGGACCTTCGGTGGAGCTCCCTCTGGGGCCACGAAACACAACACGGGGCGCAGGAACCGCATGCGAGTTCCACCGCTGAGACCTCCGGTGGAACTCCCTAATGGGGCCACGAGCCGCTGTACTGGGCGCAGGAACCGCATGCGAGTTCCGCCACCGGGACCTTCGGTGGAGCTCCCTCTGGGGCCACGAAACACAACACGGGGCGCAGGAACCGCATGCGAGTTCCACCGCTGAGACCTCCGGTGGAACTCCTCATGGGGCCACGAGCCGCTGTACTGGGCGCAGGAACCGCATGCGAATTCCGCCACCGGGACCTTCGGTGGAGCTCCCTATGGGGCCACGAAACACAACACGGGGCGCAGGAACCGCGTGCGAGTTCTACCACTGA